ACTCAGGTGATGTATTTCTCTTGCCTTTCGTTTATAGCATCCATCCAGTAACAATATGATTGTTTTCGATTAGATTATGCTTCAAATTGACGGCATTCTACAGATGTCGTCGATGAATTCCAGTGCAGCATGGGTATTGTCATTTATCGCAAACTACAAATACAAATTGCTATTTTATAGTTATACTGATCATACATATAAGTGGACACATATACGGCAAGAAGCCATCGTGATTTTCTACGTAAATATGTTGGTTTTGAGATTTACAGTATCGCTGCAGTTTAGGACAAGTAGCCCGTTGTTTTATGTCCCAAGCCTCTGTACAAATCCCCGACAGATTTACGTGTTTTTATTTATATTCAGATACAGTACGTTATCTTAGGGTTGATATTCAATAAGAGTGCGCCGAATTAAACAATAGAATTAATTTTATAGCAATTCGTTTGTGTTTGCTTGGAGTATCGACATTAAATTATTTATTTATATTGATTTCTTTCGCAGGTTTATTTACAGGGTGTTTCATCTGGGGGCGAGTTACCTACGTTAGGACAAGGTTTTGTTACATATTGCGCTTGGCATTGAGAATTAATTGCTTTATACTAATAAATATTTTGGCACGGTATGTTTCATTGGTTTTTTGTAATGTGATAATTAACGTTATGCTCCTTCTATTATTGATTTGAAGCCGGTAATTAAGAACATTAGGTTATATTTGGTAGGGTGACAATTGTGTCTTGTTTCGAATATTTATTGTCCTATATTTGATTTCGATACGATCTCGCCTTGATGTTGCAGTTGCAGGTAAAAGTGGCACCTGACAAACGCACACATATATTTATATGTACTTGTTATTATGTGTCTTAGAAAAGGGTCATCACGATGATATTGCTAATCGATTCTTTTAGTGGACACTCGAGTTGACCCTTGACATCTGGTGCTGAATATTGGTTTTGTGTCAACCTTTTGTTAAGCTAAATGTGTCAACTGTCGAAGCCTTATGAATGCTGTATATTTTGTTATGCTTGCGAGTTTGTTGATGGTTGCTCTGTTATTTCTTATGCTATGACATAATTTGTATTGTGATCTGGTTGTTGTCATGTTGCTTGTGAGCCTGGTGTTTAGTTTTTATAACACGGCAATTTATAACCAGTGGGCTGGACTGGCCCTAAAAATGTGTACACGAGGGCGCAAGGTTCCAAGTTCTCGTTGTGCCCTTTATTTTTTGTCCGACCGACTTCTAGCGTTTTCACACAAGGCTGACGTGTCATGACCAGAGCAACTAAAAACTACTCGGTGTGGAGTAGTGGGACTGGCCACCCAATATCCAAACCATATGAGTTTTTTATGATGTTTTAATGTTTTTTTTTTATGTTTTGTGTGTGAAATATTAGTTTTAAAATGTATCCTTACAATGTAACTTATTCCGATTAAATTGTCGTTTCTTAAAGCATCTAGTCACGAGATTTTCAATACAGCGTTTCATTTCAGCGAAATCATCAATTTAATTTTTTTACATGGATCATAAAAATAAAACATATTGTATTGTGTAGCTTTTTTTTATTATAAATAAATGGCATACAAAAAAACTGTTGGTTTTAACAGAACGGTGCACCCCCGCACAACGGGCTAAAACGTGCGAGAATACATATAAGACAAATTTTCCATTTTCCAGGAAATTGATTTATTTCTAGTGTACAATAAGTTGTTTCTCCACGGAATAAACGGTTAATTGAATCATACAGTGCAATATACACTAGAAAATTTCCTTTCCGTGAATATATAAAATGAATTTTTCTTTCTATTATACAATTTACCACCTAACCGCATGCGCGTTAAATTACTAATCGTAAAGGATTGACTAAAGGTGCTTCCACATTAACTTAACAATAATGGACTTTCAGTTTAAATTATGTATGCACTGTCACAAATAAACAATGCAAATCTGTGGATGCGTAATAATTTTATTGAAGAAGTAACAAATCGTTACGAAATATTAGCTCCTAATAAATGTAGTTGATTTCATTTATTGAATCACATTGATCTCCTTACCTGATTAACTCACACTAAATTGGTTCATGATTGAGATCGTAGAATTTTAAATCGTTTCAAAATAATTCTGTTTCGCCTTTTATAGTCCAGTATATTTTTTATGTACGTTTAATTTATTTTTTAGGAAGCACTTTCCCTTAAAGTTCCAGAAAAAAAACTGTTTCTAAATAAGGAAGTGGGATCTGCGCATGTGCAATCTATTTTTTTTATTTCATAAAGTGCACATAATAAATAATGACCCAAAGGGTTCACAGTGGTTTCGAACAGAGCCAATTATTTCTCTAGCAATCCATTTAACCGTTTCTTCAATTAAATTTTGGTTTTCTATGATCCAAAATGATCGTTAAAGTAGAACAAGTTTTATGTTTAAATTTTGGCTCTTCAAAAACCAAAATGCAACAAATGTATAAAATTTATAATCTCCATAAACCGGCAAAAGTGTAAAATTACGAGAAATAATAGTATATTAAGATACAAGTGTATAATCAAGTCTTTAAAGCACGCGCAACGAGTTTAAGGGCACGACGCAAAGCGGAGTGCCGTTAACGTTGCAAGTGCTTTAAAGACCAATTATACACGTGTATCTTATAGTATTTTTTATTATACCTGCAGTATAATTTAAAAATAGGAAATCAATGAAATCATATTGACGTTACACTCGAATACATGTCTAATTAAGTGGGCTGGGTGTTCGTAATTTCACGATTGCCATGGAAATGTCACTTGACGTTTGCTTATAAAAATCCGTCTTTGTGAATTAAACGATTTCCGTTGAAAAAGATAATACACCGTCCATTAAATCGATTGTTGTAAAATCTAAACAAACGTTGATAGGTGTAAAATCCAACTCCAGTAAAGCCTATTATAAAGAATATGAAAAATTGTCTCCATGGATGAATAGGAAGTTACGAATACAGTCTTAATTGCATCCATAATGCTGGCATATATGAAGGAAATGTCAAAGGTATTTAAATCTTCTATATTTTGGTGCATTCATTCAAAACTTTAAAGCAATGCTGCGATTAAAAAGTGGAACAGATTTGGAAGCATACCCTAAATTACGCGCGTTTGTGAAAGCTTCAACCGAAGGATAGGTACAAAAGCCAAAGAAATGTTCTGCATTTACAGAAAGCGACCTAAGAGGATTTTTTATTTCATCCAGATGACAGTTTCAAAAGTCATACTTGAAGTATCGTTACTTAGCAACTTTAAAGCACGTGTGTTTTAAAGGCCTTTTTTCGCACGCATTTGAGTGTTTAAAACGGAGATTGTGATTCAGGTATAATAAAATAGTTATTTATATAACAAGAGCGCGAAGTTCAATTTCGCGCATTGGGACTGAAGGTATTTTGACGAGGCGAAGCCGAGTTAAAATATCAGTCAAATGCGCGAAATAACTTCGCGCTAGCGTTATATACAATATTTTTTCTACAACTGAACCGATTGTTAATTAAATTTGCTGTTTAAGTTCAATTTTGTCACGTGCGCGAAATACTTTTTTTCACTTTTGACGATTTCGCGCACGTTGTCAAGGGCAACCTTACTTATTAATTAACCGTTTAAAAATCTAGTACTTCGCGCTTCGAAATTCATCAGAAAATGACAGGTTTTTTTGACAGTTGTAGAAAAAATAGATTTTTTGCTGTAATTGTCTTTGTAAGAGACCCAGAGAAGAATCCTTCCTTGGTGCAAACCTTGACACCAGAACCAACGAAATAGTGAAAAAAAGGAGAACAGTAGTTCTTATGATAAAGATCTAGTCGCGACACAGCCGTAGGGACGGACACAGTGGCCACAATAGCGCATTTTTTATTCTAGTGAAAATGCGCTAAAAACAATGAGCAACGCAAATAGTAACAAATTAAAAGATGAAAGTTAAAGACCGAATCCAAGATCGCGTTTAAAAAAAATGAAACTAAAACAAATACTACATTCTTAAAGAACAAAAAAAAACGAAAAGCGCTCGGGAAACCAGTAACCAACATCAATCGTTCTTGCTGCTGTTAGGTGTGTTGCGTAACCGTAGGGGCATGTCATCGCATGGTAGTGAAGAACTTGAGGCGATGTTGGCAAGGGACATCAAGGGGAAAGCGAGAACTTGATAAGTAAGAGACGCTTAATAAGAAATTTGGGCTTGACGTAAACTTAAGAGAGAACTAGAATTTGTTGGAAACTGTACGAAAGCTGAAAACGATCTGGAGAGGTATTTAAATGGAAATGAAGTGAATATTAAAAGCATAGGAAGCAATTTGTTGAAAACGTGGGTGGAAACGTCAGAATATTTTGAGAAAAGACTAACCAATATGGTATAATCCTGGGTATAAGGCTGGAAATATATTTTTTTAATTTTGTTAATACCAATTAAGGAAAATTTGCAACGGGCACATTTTGAAGACCTTTGTCCCTTAAGGTTTAACATTACTCCAATTGAACAGGGCAGGACTGTTAGTTGAATTGAAGATTTCAGATATCTGCACCACACCGTTCCACATCTGTCAGATCATCATGACAATAACACTGTCTGACCCTCAGTCTGACCCGACTTTGCACATAGCGACAAAAATCATTTTAAAGTGTACGGCACCCAGAAAGCATTAAAAAGATGCGACAATCGGTGAAAACCCGCACTCATCAAACTAAAATCGATGCCGTCTAACTGATGTCATTTTTGGAAGTAAATACTTTCAGAAACAATAGATTTTGAAATTGGTTCGATATACTAAATCTTTACAGGTTTTTCAAAAAAATATCTGTCGATCCGACACTGTATCATTATTGTCCTTTAGGTTTCTTCAATAGAAAAGACCGAAAATAACATTTTTGCTTTCATAATTTAAAAAAACCGTTTTTGCGAAACTTTTTCTGAAAAAGGTCTGAAATAAAAATATGAGTAGTGGTGTCTTTGTCAGTGATTTTGGATGATATAAAGTTAAATTGACTGACTGCATGACGGTAATTCAACATGAATAAAAACTTTATTTGACAAACAGGGTTAACGATGAAATTATGGTACAAAAATGATGACTATAATGGCATACATAATAAATAACAATAAATAAATCAATTTCAAAATCACCAATATGGTAATTTAACCTTCATTTCGTTTTATTTCGATTAGGTGGCAGGTTTTTGTCCCCTGTAGGCAATTTCCGCCCCTTCCGCTGATCGTCCCCATCCTCCATGTCCATGACCATGACCTCCACCATGTCCAAAACTGTCATGACCAGCTCCACTGAAGGAGTGTTCGTGGTGATGATCGTGGTGAGGATGTGCTACCACTTCATAAGTTACGTATTTCTCAGTGCTAAGAAGTTTCTTAAGGCCAATAATCAGCGCCAAAACGAGCGCCAGCTATAAACAACCAAAATTTTTACGAGGCAAATTGCACGAAATGAATTACCTTGCTGACGATCAACGCCTTTCCGACTAACAACGCGAGAGCCTTAAACGCGATAGCTTTAAGTAAACCAATTTTGAGAGCCACCAGTCCCATTATCGCGCCCATTCCACCATCTTTCTTTTTTCTGGCATCTCCCGGACTGGAAGTGTCCGGCTTAATTGAAATGCCTAAATTAAGTGCGCCATCTTTACCGCTTCCGCCAGAAATTACGATATCGGCATCGTCTGTAACCTAAAAGCGAATGTTAGCTACAATGCCCGGTGGTCATTATTTGGCAAAAATTCTGGTTGAACCGCACAAGTTTTAATTAATTTGGGATCAGTTGGGGAATATGAAATTTACGTAAACTTCGCTTTGATCGAAGTTAATATTACGGTTTAATTACCTTCCATTTTAATGAGCGGGTTTTAATAAAACTCAGCACTTTGTTGTACATAACCTCCCCGAATTGAGATTCTTCGGACATATTCTCAGTATTGATGCTTCTCGAAGTATCTTCTTGTGCGATGATCGTTTCGGTGGATGTTTGCGTAATTTCAACGTCGCCAAATTCGATCGACGATTTTTTCATTAGCCTATTAAAGTACGTGACGAGTTTGAGCATCATGCAGGAACTAACGTCATTATTTGTACATTTCGCGTTTAATTTTTTCATGAGCGCCTCTTCAATGCCACCGCGTTCACTTGCGTGAATCTGTAAGCACAAATACATGATTTTCACTCGACCGAAAGCAGTAAATTACAATGAAAGACTTACGGAATTGTCAATATGCCGAGGAGATTCATCTACTACTGGTCCAGCAGTACATAAGGCAACTAAACAAAGTCCGAACACTACACAATTCACTTTAGAGTTCATTTTCACTTATTTTTAATTAAATAATTAAATAAATACACGTTATCAATTATTATTTGGTAGTAGCTTCTTATTACATGGCCGTTTGAAATTCGAATGCAGAAATGTGGAGAGGAAGGATGATTTTATATCTTCTGGATACGCCTTTTGCAATCTATGTCGCATGGACCAGTTACATACAAGAAACAGGGTTACTACAAGAATTCCACATTCGAATCGCAATGGTGGGATCTGGGAATCGCGGTTGTTTATCTGGTCTTCTGCAAGTCAGATGACGGGTCATCGGTCATAAGCTACGAATACCGACAGTGAAATTTCCATATTGTCTAATTACAATAATAACGACGGTTGTATTCATGTTAGTAAAGTATTAAAATAGGTTTTTGGGCTAAATTTGCACCGACTATGGACTTTTAATCGGCCATTAGTTTTTGATTGCACGCATTAAGATTATCTAACTTGAATCTTGCTATGTGTAGGTGAATAATTACATGTCTGGTCTGCATTAAGTAATTGATTTACGACATAATCAAGACTAAAAAACAATTCTATATTATCTAAACACGTAATCATTAATTCACACTTATAAAAGCAACAAAGTGAATTAAGCAGCGGAACGTGTTTTTTGCAGGATTCGTTGTAACCTTTTTTTGTGTAGACTGTTTAATTATATGAAGTTGCCTGAATGGACATGTTTGTGTAACGTCTTTAAACAACTTTTTAAGAAAGTCTAATTGCAATGGCATGCTGAGTTAAACGGCAGCGATGTTTACCTTCAATATTTGACGAAAATCACTTTTACTACCACTGGCAAATATTTACTCAGTGTTAGATTGAGATAGTTACTACAATACTTGCCCCATATTTTAAAGACAAATTCATTATTTCTAAACAATGCACAATGGTCGTGTATAATAATGGCGAGAGAGTAGGTAGATGCAGAATTTGATAATTACCCGATTTAATTTTAAATTATTGCTCCCGAAATGTAAAGCCTAACGGTAAAATGATTGAATCATTTTCTACAAACAAATTAATATAAAATGTTTAATTCAAACGTGTAGACATCCGGTTTTAAATGATCAACCGGCAGCTAGCTAGTAATGAGATTTTAGCAGTAAACTACAATAGGCATAGCTTGTACCAATTTAACGTGCGCAAATTGTTTGGCAAAAAATTTTATTCTAGGTTAATTATGGTAACATACTGTCGATGCTGTACGACTAATTAGAAACCGCAGCTTTGATTTGAAATTATCTCGTGCACCATAACTATACTTACAGTACTACTAGGTAATCAAAAAACAATATTGTATACCACGTTTAGGTGATTAATGCACCAAAAGAGGTATCAGAGCATAATAACCGAAAGAATGAAGTAATGGGTGTATAACAATAATTGGATAGCTTTAACTGAATTTTTTTATGCGCGTAGTACACTAATTAATCGTTGACAATCACTACGTCACGCACTTAGCTAATGCCACGCAAAGAAACTTCGTGTTGATTATCGAAAAACGGTTTTTGGAAAAAGATCCGTACAGCCAGTATATAATTTTTATTTTATTGTTTTACGATCACCATAAAAGACGAATATCTCTGTCAATGAATTCTTACGCAGTTGCATTGCCAAAATTCTTAAAAGTGCCTAAAGTGAACAAGGTGCGACAACCCCTGTTTACAACGCATAATTGCCCACAGAAATTCCCGTATCAAATGCATTATTAAGATAATAGGCTGCTGGACTGTGTTCTTCCTCTAGGTTAATGTGTCGGGTATGTTATCCGATACGACTCTTATTATTTTTGCGGAAAAGGATTTGCACTAAAATAAAACTGCTATGAAAATGTTACATTAGAAACACAAACACTGTGCTAGATTAGATTTGCTGCGATTTGTCGTACAGGAATAAACATCTAATCTGCAAAAAATATATGTATGAACAAGCCTCACCACTTTTACAGATAAAAAGACGAAAGTTAGTTGTACTATGACATTCCTCTCGAGTCTAGATTATTTAGTGTGCTGTAACAACCATGATACTTGTATACAATATTTCTCCGTATGGAATTGAGAAGATACAAGGGTAGTAATAACAATGATGCCAAATTAACGAAAGAAAATACTGGTTTATTGCAAATAATATCAAGTCAAAGTGCCTCCAAACACGGTACTTACACAAAATGTTCTCGTATATGAATTTATGTTAAAATTCCCATAAAAGTCACAAATAATTTCCCCTCAAGAATAAATCGCAACTCCATAATGATGGTTTAAACTAATTTCTGAATTTTAAAACAATTTTTTACAAATAACTTGATATTTCGGGCAAATATTCGCACGTACAGGGCCAACTACACGTAAAAACATATGGGAGCTTTTACCTTGAATAAAGCTAGCTATTGACGCCAAGAAGTGAGCTCAGTTCTCGCATTCAATTCTAAAACCAATCAAAAAAAGGAGCAAAATAGTTATTAACTTAATCAAGTTTAAAAAGAGTCAAGGTTTCAAGAACACTCCACCAAACCAATATTTACTCATGAATGACAAGTTCAAGTTTTTATTTTATCGATTGTAATACGGCGAGCTTTTAGTATTCTCACACGTGCGTCAATGAATTATTTGTTCTCAAATTGTGCCTGTTCCCCCATTGTTTGGCTGTTGTTTTGAATTACACGCTGGAAATAGGTCGTGTTAAGTTACTTCTACAACTTTGCAAATTAAGCGCAGCTGTGTAAAAATAAGCTGACTTGACAGAAAAGAAGCTCAGTATACAACTCTGAATACCATTGAGTAGGCGTTAAAAGATGACTTTGTGTTCAGAGAAGGGATTATTTTTCACGAGATTTGATATTCGCGTTTAGAGTCAATGCAAACAGATTGGGTGGTTGGCGTTGAGAGAGTAGGGTCTAGATAGACTAGCGGTCGGATAATCGAGTTTACAGAACCGTTTAAGTTTAAGGGCGACGTTGTGATCCAGTTAATCAGTTTGTTCAAAAACCATCATTAGTTGCCCAAGTGGAAAAATAGTACGGAGTGAAAAAAGCGTCTCACGTGAATGTGAAGACGTCTCACCTTTGGAGTGATTAAAGAGTAAATTGTTGTGCCGTGGAGTACACACTGATACCAAAAAAGTGCCCGTTCACAAAAAAATTCAAGTTATAAAAATTACGCCCAGAGACATTTGAGTATTTCATTGTGCTAGTAATCGTAAAGGACACCTTCCGCTATTGTAAGCGAACGCGTTCGTAAGCAAATTCCTTGAGAAACTTTGCTCCATATCTGTGCACTGATATATATAAATGGAGGTGAAATTAGTTCATGTGCCGCACGAAATTACAACAAAGAAAACTGTTTGTAAAATCAAATAATATTAAAGTTTATTATCATAATGCAAAAGGGCAGTTTAGTGAAAAGCTTAGCTAAGAGATTTCCTCACAATTCAGCAAATCCTAATCAAAATCAAGTTAATCTCAGTGTGTATGCAAAACGCACTTTTCGGACCAAACTCCACTGTTCAGCAGACGAATTAACATCGAGAGTAAACCAGTTTTATTCAATCCATAATCAAGGTCCAATCCAAAGGGTAGTCGCCTGACGATTGTTCCAAGTCAACGGGTTTAAGTTTGCAGCCCTTTAGAAACCATCTGATATCTACCCCAATTGTCTAATTGCCCGTGTAGGATAGTTCAGTTAAAGCTCGACTACGGTACTAAGGGTCTCTGTTTCGAATTCGGGTTCGGGATAAAACTTCAATTTTATGCCAACTGTTAGTGCTATTTTAGTGCTGAGTCAATCAAGCATTAATGTCCCATCTCTGGTAGGTAGAGAATTTTGTTCGTCCGAGACAAATCACGTGCCGGTTCATAAGTATGCAAACATTTCGTACACTAATAGACACTGACAATTTGCAAAAAAAATGGGGCGAACTAGAACATGGCTGGGGTAAACGTGAAGGTAACCTGAACAGAAACCACTTTATACAAGATCGAGCTTGAGTACTAACGTTGGCTTGTTCAGGATTAGCAAGCACTCATCAACCAGTAATTAGGTGGGGTAAATTTGAGTTTGGGTCACAGAAAAGTGAATTTAGTAATAACAATTGGCATAAGAATGGAGGCTAATTAGAGTTTGGGTTGGGGTAAGCTTCCTAACGAAGCAAAATATTGCTACAGGAAAGCGCTTTGGCGCTTACCCTGGTTTATTGGGCACTGGCGAGCGGACTATTTTTGGCTTCACAGTTATGTTATGTGGTTTGTACTTGTACATAATAAATATGAATGTAGTGGAGTGACGAAGGGTCATCATTCCGTTCAAAACGCTGAATGTGTGGGCCTTGGGCAAGATGAAAGTATCTTAATGTTGCTTGTGAGTAAACATAAACTAAATCTCGTATGTTAGTCAATTCTGTTTTAGATATAAACACATATAACAACTAGGGCAATTAGCTCCGGAAATGTGAGTAGGTAACAAAGTAACCACTAACATTTCAAACGCTAACTGAAACAAATTCATAGCAACGTAAATTGATTGAAGGCAATTACGGATGACACTAGGTATTGTGTAACTACGGTAACTATAAAATAAACGCATCTAAACGATGCAGCATCCCATACAAATAGCCGATCATTTTGACGTCCATTTATCTCTTTCCCGTTTCTAATGTCCATTAATTTCAGTTGGAAATGTTTACAAAACCTCAGGGGATAAATGCGCGACAGGAATAATATAAATAATAAAAGTGGCGGAATAAAAACGGGGTTGTTACAGAAAGGCAATACAATAAAAAGACATCATATTTTTATTGGAGCGCTATAAATCGCTAAAGCACCAGAAGCTTGTCCCATACAAAATAAAATATGAATGTCGCGCACTTGTTTGGTTTTATCTGAAAGGCTTTTATTGCAGCGGAACAAAAATGTTATGGATGTTATATAAGTTGATGCTTAAAAGTAGATTTGGATAAAAAATGAAATTTAAAGTAAATCTATAAGATTCTGCTCTGAGGACGTTCCTGGGTTTTAGTAGTTTTTCCATCTTCCAGCAGCTCTATGAACTATTTCCTCCTCGGTACATTATGTTTGAATTACATATCGGTTTTTACAGAAATTA